TCTTTCTTGGCCTTTAACGCCCCAACTATACATTTTTTCCTACTACTTTTGGCCCCTACCTTCACTTTGCCTCCTTCACCTCACTCTCCCTTTTTATTCTTATCCCACCAACCACTCTCCCTACTTTATATTACCACTACTACTACTTCCACTACCAGCCTTAACCCTGCCACTACTACTCTCTACTACTACTTCCACTATCGCTTTACCACTACCACCACTACTACTAGTCTTCCCACTTCTCTTGTCCCATCCCTACCAGCTGCCCTATATATACTGGCTCCTTCTCTACTTTCTGTGTGACTTTGTAAATGGTCCAAGTCGGAACGAAACGTCGTCGTAAGCTCCTCTCTCCTATGTGCAGGTTATTTGTGTATTATTATATGGCCCCGTTCAACTCGGCGTTAGCAGCAACCGTACTTCCTGCAGGTTCTTACCGGAGTCTCCACGCTGGCTCCTCTCTAAGGAACGTCTTGAGAAGCTAAGATGATCCTTGTCAAGATGGCAAAGGTGAACAAGACGGAGCTCCTGATGAGTTCATGCAGAAGTTGCAGGTATGAGATTGTGGTGGATGTAATGATGTAAGCAACAGCAGTGATGGTGGTGGGGCAAGTAGTGGTGGTTGTAGTGGCAAGAGTGTTGCTAGCATTGGTGATTGTGATGGTGGTACAGTTAGTTATGGTTATAGTGGTGCAGGTGGTGGTGGTGGTAGTGGAGTTGCACAGGTTGCTGTGATGGTGTTGTGGGAAGCAGTGGCAGTGGTGGAACAGATCATGGTGGTAATGGTGCAGATTTCGGTAGCAGCGGTGCAGATTGTGGTTGCATTCCTTAACGCACTTCATCATTAACTTCCCTCTTTTCTTCCTCTTCCGTGCCTCAGAACCGCATGTTAGCCCAGCAGGCGCTGAGCACCAGCTCCGCCAGCAAGCAGACCAGCACTGGGTTCTTCAGCATGTGTTACACACCTAACCTGCGCCTCAAAGCCATCCTCATCACTATAATCTGGTGAGTCCCATATCATCGACCAACAGATAAACTTCTCTAACGGACAAAGAAAAGAAACTTAAAAAGGAAAGCTTCTCGTAGAGAGCCATTTTCATTCCGTTTTCTCTGACATCTAGTAATTGAAACTTAACTCGTAGAAGAGTTTAGATTTTCCGCCGATACAGCTAGCTTATTGTGCACCCTCTTACACATTCTATGGACAGTTGAGCAAGTAAATATGGATGCTCAAAAGATTTAGGAACTAAGCCCTAAAAGGATTAGCAGGAATACATTTTGATTACATATTTACATTTTAAGTTTTACCTGTGAGAGACATGACTGCCTCTTCCAAAGCAGGGCCGGTTTAGGCAAACCATCTCAGAGTTTTAAACCAAAAATCTTACGTCTATGCAGTATTCTAGGAAGTTGGTAATATAGCAAGTGAAAAATGCATCAATCTTTACTAAATAATGACATCAAGTACAAATTTATGTAGAGTGTGAATGACAAATATTTGTGAGATATTATGCGTTGAATTATACCTGGAGAGGGTTTCGGGGGTCAACGCCCCCGCGGCTCGGTCTGAGATCAGGCCTCTTGGTGGATCAGGGTCTGATCAACAAGGCTCTTACTGCTGGCCGCACGCAAACTGACGTACGAACCACAGTCCGGCTGGTCAGGTACTGACTTTAGGTACCTGTCCAGTGCCTTCTTGAAGACAACCAGGGGTCTATTGATAATCCATCCTATGTATGCTGGGAGGAAGATGAACAGTCTTGGGCCCCAGACACTTATTGTGTTGCCTCTCAGTGTACTCGTGGTGCTCTGCTTTTCATCGGGGGAATATTGCATCTCCTGCCGAGTCTTTTGCTTTCATAGGGAGTGATTTTCGTGTGCAAGTTTGGTACTAATCTCTCTAGGATTTTCCAAGTGTATATTATCATGTATCTCTCTCTCCTGCGTTCCAGGGAATATAAATCAAGAGACTTCAACAGTTCCCAGTAATTTAGGTGCCTTATCGTACTTATGTGTGCCGTGAAAGTTCTTTGTACACTCTCCAGGTCAGCAATTTCGCCTGCCTTGAAGGGGGCAGTTAGTGTACAGCAGTATTCCAGCTTAGAGAGAGCAAGCGATTTGAAGAGAATTATCATGGGCCAGGCGTCCCTAGTTCTGAAGGTTCTTGTTATCCATCATATCATTTTCCTAGCAGATGCGGTGGATCCATTGTTGTTGTCTTTGAAGGCGAGATCCTCTGACATTATCACTCCCAGGTCCTTCACATTACTTTCTCGCTCTACTGTATGCTTAGAATTTTTTGTATACCCTGATACAGTTTTAATTTCCTCAATTTTTCTATATCTGAGTAGTAGAAATTTCTCTTCATTGAACTTCATATTGTTTTGAGTGGCCCATTTGAAGATTTGGATGATGTCCGCCTGGAGTCTTGCGGAGTCTTCGATGGAGGTCACTGTCATGGCAATTCGGGTGTCATCCGCAAAGGAAGACACGGAGCTATGGCTTACATCTCTGTCTATGTCAAATATGAGGATGAGGAATAGAATGGGAGCGAGTACTGTGCCTTGTGGAACAGAGCTTTTCACCGTAGCTACCTCAGACTGTACTCTGTTTATTATCACTCATTGTGTTCTATTTGCCAGGAAGTTATAGATCCATCTACGAACTTTTCCCGTTATTCCTTTATCACGAATTTTGTGTGCTATTACATCATGGTCACATTTGTCGAAAGCTTTTGCAAAGTCTGTGTATACTACATCTGTATTTTGTTTATCCTCTACAGCATCCAAGACCTTGTCATAGTGGTCCAGTAGCTGGCACAAGCAAGAGCGATCTGCTCTAAACCCATATTGCCCTGGGTTGTGTAGCTGATGGGTATCTAGGTGGTTGGCGATCTTGCTTCTTAGATCCCTTTCAATGATTTTTATGATATGGGATGTTAGTGCTATCGGTCTGTAGTTCTTTGCAATTGCTTTACTGCCACCTTCGTAGAGTGGGGCTATGTCTGTTGATTTTAGTGAGTGTGGGACGACCCCCGTGACCATGCTCCCTCTCCATAGAATGTTGAAGGCACCTGACAGGGGATTGTTGCAGTTTTTGATGAACACGGAGTTTCATGAGTCTGGGCCTGGGACAGAGTGCATGGGCATTTCATTTATTGCCTTTTCAAAGTCTTGTGGTGTGAGGATAATATCTGAGATTTTTGAGATGACCAAATTTTGAGTCTCGTTCATAAAGAATTCATTTGGATTGTCGACCCTATGTCTGGGTAGCGGCTCGCCAAACACTGAGTCGTACTGGGACTTTAGTATCTCACACATTTCTTAGATGTCATCTGTGTATGTCCCATCTCGTCTATATAAGGGCCCAATACTAGATGTTATTTTTTCCTTAGATTTGGCATAAGAGAAGAAGTATTTTTTTTTTAATTTCTTTTATGGTTTTTAGCTCTTCCAAGGGCAGAGGTTTTTAAGGGCCAGAAGGAAAAAAAGACTGGCGAGAAATGGCAATAGTCCTACACCACCTGAAAACATTTCTGGAGCACAGGCACGGACATTGGCCTCTTCCCCAGAACAGCAAATATTAGTAACTAAATAACAAAAAAAAGGCACAATACCGTGACTGGAACGATACACAAATAACCCGCACATAAAACAGAGAAGCTTACGACGACGTTTTGGTCCGACTTGGACCATTGACAAAGTCACACTAACCAGAAGTAAGCAAAGAAAAGCAAATAAGTTCAGGTAAGATTCCAATGGGATGAGCGGGGAAGACGGGACAGACGAAGAATAGCTCTGGAGAGGAGTGTTCTTAGTCAGAGAAATGCAGCCAGAGCTTAACCCAGCAGCTAAGGCGATCGTGGGGCAGACTTGAGAACAGGAAGAGCAGGGACTGTTGCATCGAACTTGTGGTAGTTGAAGTCTTGAATCTTGAGTAGCTGGCAGCAGGCTAGGTCACATCAGAGGGTAGAACACATATGGGAATTATAGGAGTAACTGAGGAGGCAAGTTAGCAATGGAACCATTTTCGAACATTTTGAAGCTGCTCCTAGACAGGTGGTATAGTTTAGCCTTGTTACTGAAGGTGAAACGTAGAGGCTTGATGAACTCAAGAACTTGGGTGAGTGTGAAGTGAAGTGGTGATTCACATGCATTCTTGACTGTTCCAGCACCGAGGCTTTTGTAGAGTTCAGTACAGGTCATGGTGTCAGTATTTGAAGGAGAAGTGTAGAAGGTAAGGTTTTCCCATGAGGGTTTACTGGAGTCGTCGTTATCTTCCTCTTCTGGAGTGGATACATTGGGAGAATCTACAATGGTGGTAGCAGGTGACTGAGGGTCGACAGGAACAGTGGAGAGGTGTAATGGTCGTGTAACAGCAGGCTGGGAGAGGTGGGAGACGGTGGTTGAGGCAGCATGATCAACGTTGTCAGCGGTGGAAGTGGTTATAGAAGTTACAGGAGCAGTTGCTTGGGCAGGAGACAGGTCTGCAGGTGCAGTAAAGTTCAGGACGTTGGGAAGGATCTTGAGGATGTCTGCTGAAGGTGTGGAGTCCGGAAAATTGAAGGCAGGCATGTTGTTCAGACGGAATAGTTCGTTAATAGTGGTGTTGAAAGTGCCGGGGTTTGGCTGCGTTTGCAAGGTGTGCATACACCATGCAGTACAGCACCTTGGAGGAAGCACCGTCGGGGAGTGGAGAGAGGGAGTTGCTGGGCGATGGTGCCTGTAGATTAGCGTGTAGAGTCTTGGTGGTGACAGTTTGTGGTTTGGTTATTGCAGCGTATGTCGGTGAATTGGAGGTGTTCTTTAGAACTTTAGTTTTCTTCAATAGGATTTCTTTCCTGAGTGGGCACTTAGCTGCAAGGGTATGATGATTACCCTTGCAGTTAAGACATGTTGGTGCTGTAGCAATGGTGCAGGATCTGAAATCGTGTCCATCATTCCCACATTTTGAACAAAACTTCTTATCCTTGACAGGGCAGTCCTTGGTGGTGTGTTTATAGGAGTAGCAGGTCCAGCAGTGAGAGATGTATGTGAAACGTTCTTGTTCTATATGACTAGGGTGAATGTGGTAATATGAGATGGCCAGACAGTCAGAGAGAGCTTGGGCAGCCATGGAGATGTCTGAGAATGTAATCTTTAGCATAGATGAGGCGTTGGGGATCTTGGAGATGCTGTCTACCGAGGCCCAGGTGTTTTGTTCCTCAATAGATGTCTTCAGTGCTTCAGTAGAGAGAGAGGTGACCATATTGTCCAGTCTTTTCACAAAGACCGAACGTTTCGACTTCAAGAATGGAGACGGGGATAGAGTGAATTGTTGTGTTTGTAAGGTCCTGATTGAAGAGTCGTCCATTAGTTTTGATGCTTCCGTGTCGTCTGTGCAGACGACAATGAAGGAGTCCTTCAGAGAGTGGATTGCCGTAAATTTGACCTGCAGGCGGGTCTTAGCGACGGTAGCTAAAGCTAACTTCGAGGAGTCATTTATTGCACCATTCACAGGCTTGATTTTCACACGATTCGACAGCATTGTGAAAAGGATGTGACGTTTGTAGAATATAAATTCTACACCCCGGCGGGGTCGAAGAGAGGCTTAACCAGAAGTGTTGTTGTTGTTAAAGATTTGCTGGTATTTTCCCGGCCCGGGCCCTTCCAAGTGGTGGGCTGGCACTGGCTCCCTGTCTAGGGAGTGTCTGAGACCTAAATCTCCCATGGGAGGAGGCACAAGTACCCCCCTCATTTTGTGAGCTACAAACTCGGGCTCTGGCACCAACCCTGCCCTAGAAGGGCAAGACATTGTTCATTTTTATTCATTCATGTTGATTCGCTGGTACTTCCGGCCCAGGTCTTCTCCAGATGGTGACCCGGCAGTGGCCCCCCGGGTGGGGGGTGACGATCATCTTCTTTCTTGGCCCTCCGGTTGGAGGGTGTCGTCTTCTTCTATCTTGCGCTGACTTCCCCGGAGAGAAGCGCAGTCGGGTAGAGGCAGCAGTTACAGGGTCGATTGGA